TCCTCTCCTCTATCCCTCTTCTATCCGCCTCCCACTCTCTCCCTATTTATTTCAAAACCCCCTTCCCCTCCCCCTTTTCTGATGAAGGGTCTAGGCCCGAAACGTCAGCCTCTCTGCTCCTATCATGCTGCTTGGCCTGCTGTGTTCATCCAGCCCTGCACCTTGTTATCTAAAATTCTAAGTAGTTTTGATTAAGGATCTGTGGAGAAACTGTTCTTACAAGTAGGAAGGTCAATAACCATGAGACAAGTGTAAAGTATACTGAAAGGTCATGGACCAGAAACATTCATTTTCTCTCTCTTAAGATCCTGCCTAATCTTCCATGTATTTCCAGCATTTCTGTTTTAATACAGATCAAAGAATTAAACAGTAAATGAAACAGGGAAATAAAGAGCTTCCTTCTGCACCACGAGCTGCTATGATCTGGAACACATTGAAAGGGTGGAGGAGCAGTTTCAATAAAAACTTCCAAAAAAGAATTGAGAAATACTTGAAAAACTAAAACAAAAATGCAGGCTATGGGGAAACAATGGGAAAAGGGGGACAAATTGAACAGACCTTCCAGAGTGATAACATAGGCAGATGGACCGAATGGTCTTCTGTGCGGCACAATTTTAAGGAAATACCTTGTAAGTGCTTCAGTTAAATGTCTTTTTACTCACACTCATCATCATGCTTTCTCTTTTCTTTGTAGTTTTGGGGTTCAGGGGCATGGGGTCAGGTGGACCATCGATCTGTTGCATCTGGAAATCTCCATGTCCTACAATGTGTACCAGCCTGTTCACATTAAGCGGCCGTCCCCGGACATAACCAGACACCTTCAGTGTCCCCACCAGCCCACTTCCGTCACTGGCTTCAAAGGTCACTTGCTGAGCCAGTAAGTAGGATCGGCGATCTCTGAAAGCAAGGCGTCGCTGTTTCTGCATCGCAATGTGTCTGATAACCAGGGCAGCGTCCTCCTCTGTGTCCATGTGAAAGAGTTTTGCATCAAGAAAACGTCTCTCTAACATCTTGGTCAAACTCTTCTTAGCATCTGTTCGCTTCTTGACAGGAAGGTCATTAATTCCTTGAACCACAAACACTGTGGAGTGACAGTGAATTAGAAATGGGAGACTGTTCTGGATAAGCATTTCATACACCCCATCCTCAGCAGCCAGCAGGGCCTTTGACAGTCAGGAGATTGTGTGCAACACGAACATGCCATTATACCCAATGAGTCACCCAACTCCCAATCCCCTGCCCCATAACAACATCAGCATCCCTTCTGCCGAGCCCCAACCCCATAGAAACAACAGCCCCCAGCCCCACAGACATCAAGTCCCACTCCCCAGACTGCAAGAACCCATCAGCACCCAGTCCATACCATGGCTCGGGAGGCCCTGTGCAAACAGACAGGAGAGGCAGAAGTCACCATGACTGTCCCATCCCTCGTATGGATCCAGCACTAACATCAGTGTGTCTGCCACTTTGGCAAGGTCAAGGACGGCATGGATATCACCTGAAAAAAGAACGGAATGTGAGTAATGGAAGAGCAGGTGGCCATTTGGTTCCTTGAGCTTTTCTATCTTTGAGTTTTAACACATCTGGTCTGTATCACACCTTAGCTCCCAAAGACAACATCCTTTCAATAAAAAAGTCTTGTAAGTTCCGATAATGAGCCTTTTCAGAACATGGAGATCCAGATTTCCAATCCCAATTTGTGTAAACAAATGCTTCCTAACATCACCCTTAATGGCCTGGTTCAAATTTTAAGGTTTGGCTACACATCTCACAGCAACTAGAACCAGTGTCAGTAGGTTCTCTCTATCTACACATTGTTACAAACAGTTTTTTTTTAAAAGAAGGTGGTCATGTTTTAAACTGTCTCTTTTAATTTTAAGCTCTGCCTGACAGCTAGTGACCTGGTTACCATGGGAACTGAGAACTCAGATCTTAATGAAAGTCAGGTAGCAGGTTAAATACCTGGAGAAAGCAGCTTAACTTTACCACGTATGATGAGAAAACAGTGTCAAGCAGTCACATTCAGACAACAGAGAGAGAGTGATGCTAGCATGTGAGAGAAGGGAAGGAAAGCTGCTCCTGTGACAGCAGAACCTAAGTGATAATAGAAGAGATCACGAGAGGGTGCCTTGCTGCTGGAAATTAATTCAATGACCCTTGGGGGAATGAATGAAGGGATTTTTAAAAGGACTCTGGGAGACTTGCTCCAATGTAATGGAGACAACAGACCGTGGAAATGCCAGAAATGTTTCTGGAACTTTAAAAACAGAACTATATTTCTGCTGAGAGATCTGGAATGTATAAACATGGCATGAGGTCATCAACTATGTTAGCAAACCAGACTCCAAACCTTAACTGTTTTTGTCTGCACTGATGCTGCCAGACCTGCCGAGTTCCTCTTCACTGTTTTTATATCTGTTCTCTACTTTAGAGATTAGTTGCATACTAAGTAATGCTTAGTCAATATTAGTTTTAGTGCTTGTTACAGTGAAAATCTTAAAACTTTAAATCATGTGATTCCTTTAATTCAAACTTTTTAAGAAGTTATTCATCTCTACCATGTTGTAATATCAAAGCCCTTTTATCATCATTAGTTTAGAAGGTGAAATGGTGATCGAAAGGAAATATTTCTGAAAGAAATTCTCCCCATTTCCCCCCTGCCAAGGTCAGTCCTGAGATGTGGAACCAAGGGCTGAATCCAAATACTCCTGTTGGGGTCTGGCCAGCATTTTCCAAAAACTATGACATTATTTCATCCCTCTGTATTACAGCCCCATTAAGATCGAGGCCAATTATCATTTCAGGGTGTTTTTTTTGCACTTGTCCTCTAATTTTTCGTGTTTTCAGTAGTTGAACACCCAGATCGCACGGTATCCTCTGGGATGGTGCAGCAGTTAGATCTGCCACTGGGTTCAATGGGTTGGAAGAGCCGCTGTTACATGCTGCAGATCCACAGCAGCTAGTCAGTGGTTTCAGAGAAAGTCAGTCAGGTCAGATGGAGGGTTGGTTATTAACGGGTGTTAACTTAACAGCCCTTTGTTAACTTCAGATGGTGCTCTGAGAGCAAGGGGCGAAGGGGCTACTGAACTGAAGTCAGTAATGTCTCTTGCATACCATCACAGGCTACGCATAAGCAGAAGGAGAAGGCAGCATGACCCCAGGGGTGCAACCATCTTGCTGGTTTTCAGATGCAGCTGAATCAGGTCCTGGTCAGGGGTCACACAAATGATCCACACAGAGCCGCTTAGGTAAACGTGGGCTCTCTCTTCACAACTCAGTTAATCACACACGTCGTTCTTTTTGCCTGAAATACACCGATCCCCAGCTCGCCAACTGGTATTGGAACAGGCAGATTACAAACACAAAGGGAGGCTATTCAGGCTACTAGCCTGCTGAAGGAGCAATTACCCTCATGACATGCCTCCCACCTTCTCCTCATAACCCTGCACATTCTTCCTTTCCAGATAAAAGTTCAAATTGCATTTGAAGGTCTCAATTAGCCCTGTCTCCATTGTTCTCAGATCATGCAAAAAAGCAAACCGGATCCTAACCACTCGCTGCATGGAAATGGTTTTCATGTTGCCACCACTTCTTTCGCCATTCATCTTAAACATGTCCTCTAATTCTAAACCTTTCTGTTAACAGGAACAATTTTTTCTGTATATCCTATCCAGACCTCTCATGATTTTGATCACCCCAATTAAATTTTGAGTTTTCTCTTCTCCAACAACACAAGTTCCTCAATCCTTGAAGCATTCCTGCGAATCTTTTCTGGACTCACTAAAGCCTTCTCTTAAATTGCCATAATCCACAAAGAACCACAGGCATCTACCCCTCTCGCCCTATCCTGCAACAGTATCACTAAGCAGTTACCCCTAAGAGTGAAAGCTGTCTCACTTCTGCCTCTTTTTGGGACACATGAAGGAGGACTGATGCTCCAAAAGTTTGTATTTTCAAATAAACCTGTTGGACAATAACCTGTTGTCGTGTGATTCCTGACCTTGTCTTTTTGGGAATGCAGCTCATGTGAGGCATCCTCAACATGACATACGTAAACATGTTATAAAGAAGGGTCACTGAACTCAAAACGTTAACTCAGCTTTCTCTCCACAGATGCTGCTAGACCTGCTGAGTTTCTCCAGCAATTTCTGTTTTTGTTTCTGATTTCCAGCATCCGTAGTTCTTCTGTTGGTTTCTTTGGGTTGTAGATGTAAACAACAACTCAGCAGAAGTATCCATTTGAGACTGCATGACATAATTAGGGAGTTCAATGTATGTAGTGTTTGGGTTATCCACATTCTAACCACAGCACAGCTACGTGAATGAAATGCTTGAGAATGCTGGTCGCATGAATCTGCCGAGACTTCTCCTCAGGAACTCTCTGCCACTGACCTGAATTCACTCGGATGAAGCCGAATCTCTGTTTGAACCTGGGGCAAACCAAGCCAAATCGTTCACCACTTCCATCGAGGTCGTACACACTCGAGGTCTCATCAGTCCGAATTAGCCTCATGACATCTTGACCACCTGTACCAGAGTGCAATACGATGACACCCACCAGATGGGGGGGACCATCTTTAGTGCCCAGACTCCTCTTCTCACTGAGTACCTATAGCAGAACACAGGTCAGAAAGTTTATGTCTTTGTAGTTCATAAATACAATCCACTTTCCAGCCTTCAGCTGTGTGCATGAAGGAATCTGGCAACAGGGAGGGGGGCATCCAGGCACCAAATCCTGAGCGCTCCACAGACACTGCCGGACAGATCTGCTGAGTTTTGCCAGCACTTTCTGTTTTAGTTACAGATTTCCAGCACCCACAGCTCTTTGTTTTATTTCATTTTACTCCAGAAATAAATATCGGGGGTGGAAATGGGGACGAGGTGTGGATGAGGCCGACAGGATGGGTGATGAGAGTGGGGTAAAGTACAGCAGATGGGGAGGAATGGGGCCACACTCACCGCCTCCCTCTTCTGCTGGCGGATCTGAGTTGCCTGGTGCCGCCGATCATGTTTCCTCAACTCCTTTCTCAGCTTCTTGCTGCTCACTTTCACACTCACTCTGCCTGGAGTCAATATGGAGACAAAGTGATGAGAGAGAGTCTCAACCACCCAACCCCCAACCACACACACACTCCCGCCCC